TGGCCCGTTGAGGGGGGCCAATATGCTGAAGTGGCCCTCGGTGAAATTGAGTTTGACACCCCTGGTTTAGATTTATGGTGGATAAGGTGTTGTTCAACACAACCCCCTCAAATTGAAAGCAAGAACTGCAACAGTGACAAGGCAGAAGCCTGGAGGTGATTAGCAGATTTATTTAGTTTTTTTATTTAACCTTCTTTTTAGTTGAAAATAAAACTGAAATGTTGTCTTGTTGCCTTTTAAGGTTGACGCTCATGGCAACATCCTCCTGACGAACCTCCCCACTGAGATGGGGGGACCGGATATGATGGGCGCCCTCAACGATCCTCGGGCCACCATGTTCTCCTACGACAGCGCCAGCATACAGTACCGCAAGCCCATGACGAGCCGGGACCTGTATGGACGGCCAGCCCTCGACCGGCCAATTGGACACAAGAAAAGCCGCCTGCGGAGGAGAGCGTCACAGCTGAAAGTCAAGATCCCGGACCTCACAGACGTCAACGCCATAGACAAGTGGTCCAGGGTCGTCTTCCCGATCACATTCACCTTCTTCAACTTGGTCTACTGGCTGTATTACGTCCACTAGGGCAGCGGTTGTGAGCAGGAGTGGTAGCTGATGGGTACTTTTTTGTTTGTTTGTTTTTCAAGGGAAGCTCAATCCTGTACAGTAATGAAAGTAGAAGAGTTCAGCCCATTTGTACAAATCCTCTTTTTGGAACGAGTAGTTCTGGTCTTTACAGTGTAAATACAATTTAATATATGAAATATATAAATCAATCTATATATATATATATAAAGACAGAGATATAATTTATTAAGAAATTCAATTTTGCTGTGTACATACAGTTAGTTATAGAGAAAGAAGTAGTGGTGAATTAAAGACAGTAAAGTTTCGTTATTTACAGGTTCAAAGATGCCAAAAACACATTGGTGGCTTTTGTTTGTCTTCTTTTTTCTTTTAGCCCTCCTTTTGCATGTTAATAGAAGTCAGCTTTTGTTTGCTTACAATGCAAAAAACAAAATAGAAACCCAACAAAAACACAAGGTAACTCAAACAGGATTAAACTCCAGCTGATTAAGGTTATTGTGGAAAAAACAGGGACAAAACATAAAACTGATGCAGAGACAGATTAAACTCTCCATCCATCCATGCAAACTTACTACATCCGTATAGGTAATCAACCAATCCATCAATCCCTCTCTCGTCTTATAAAATCAGTGTTGCCAAGTTGAAGTCTGGTGTCTCACCTGACGACCTGCTGAATCAGTTCTTCATCAGGGAACCATCTGAATCGAACTTAACAGATATGTGAAAGTTGAACCAGACTCCAGGATTTAGAGTACACATGGATGCAAACCTCTACTGTAAATTAATAACTCTGCTGCTGTTGTTTGAAACTTAAACGTCAGCTAACTTTTTGATCCCATCCAGTGAGCTTTGTGCAATTTGTGCGTTAAACAACATTTGAGTTGCAGCTGAGGTTTCCCAGTTCAGGTTTATCCCAGTCTATATGATGTTTCAGTAAAGATCTGTTGTATTTTTGCCTCTCTTTCTGCTGGCCTTATGTTTATGGAGACAGTACAACTAAATTTCATTTCATTTACAAAATGGAAACTTCTCTTTATTATGCCGCTGTTTAAAGATTTCACAGCCAGAGACAGGGATATATTGGAAAACTGGTGCTTATATTTTCTACTGCACAAGTCCCACAAATTTTTATGGAAGGCGCCAAGTCATCTGCCTTTTTCAGCAGTAAAGGCCTCTTTTGGCATTTAGAATTGCGTCACGTGACTTTGGATTTTGCAGCAGAGAGAAGAGATTAATTTTGCTCATCTACATAGACAAATACTTCCTTTGGAAAAAGTCCACCGAAATAAATTCTAATCTGGTTATGCTCATATATTTTAGTTCATTTGGAGATATAGAATAGACTTTTATCATCTAAAAATGTTACTTTTTACACTTTAAAGTGGCAAACTTTTTTATCTCATTAATTTTACACTTCTTGACAAAACAGTTTAGCACCCAGGGAGTGGTGGAAATTAAATTAACTGTTGTATTGCTGTATCTCTTGCAGGGTGTGGACCTCCTTTAGGCTTGGATGTAAGGTTTGATACAGACACTGTCTTCTGCTGCAGCAGGGTGGTCCACATCTTTGCTTTGGCACTGATTCTTAGCTGATTCCTTGTATGCTTGCTGGATTGCAGAAACTCAGAGTCCCGTATTTATAATATGATACAACTTGTCTTCAGCCCTTACCTCTCTGTGATCAAACCACTAAAAATGCAGCCGTCTTCGCTCTGTTGGTAATGCCACTCTATGCATACCATAAGACAACACAAGGTGTTGTAAAGAGTGATTCCAGAGAGGTCGTTGTAATGTTTGGAGCACAATGGAGTGATCCTCATTACTGTGGTTAGTCTTGGATGACTGGAACCTTCATTTACTCTTCCCAGAGCCCATTAGTTCAAACATCTGACCACTGAAAGGTCTTTTTACTGGACTAAGTTGAGACGACTGTGGGCCTCTGGGCTACACACTTGCTATAGATCAATGTTTTTTACGTGTTTGGGGTTTGAGGGTTAGGTTAGAGCAGGGGTGGGCAACTCCAGGCCTCGAGGGCCAGTCTCCTGCAACTTTTAGATGTGTCTCTACTTCAGCACACCCGAGTCAAATAATGAGGTTATTAGCAGGACTCTGGAGAATCTGACTGCACTTAGGAGGTGATTCAGCTGTTGGATTCAGCTGTGTTGGACCAGGGAGACATCTAAGAGTTGCAGGACACCGGCCCTCCAGGACCAGGATTGCCCACCCCTGGGTTAGAGTCAGTGATGTGACATCATTGTCTTAAAATTGCTGCGCATTGCTTATCTATATGAAAATTCAACTGATGAAAAGCACTTCATTTGATATGAGCTTAGAAGTTAAAATTCAGTGTTTGCGAAAAATCTGTTGAATAAGACCCACCTTTTCTGAATAAGAAAATGTGGGTGATGGGGTGAAAATCTTGGGATGCTAATCTAATCCACCTCTTAGCTCCTTTTTTATTATCCAGCTCAGGCTTTACCATTCACATGCTGATAATCTACATGCTACGGTTGCCTAAACTCATGCAAACAAACAATGCAAATTCATCCAGTTGTAATGCATCAGTCTCTGTCTCTTGACCTTCTCTCTTTGTTCTGACTGTCTTGTGCTCTGGTTAGTGCCAGATGCCAGCACTTACGCTCTGTGGTAGCCATTCGAAATGTTCCAACTCCATAGGAATAGAATCATGTCCATCTGTCACTGTTCTGCATGTGGACCAAATTACACCTTGATCAGGCCATTCTTTCTGGAAGCTGATCTGTTTTTTGTCAGTCAGCTTATTATAAAGTCTTTTAAAAATTAATATTTTTTTAATCCTGTTCTGAGTTATTTTTTAATTCACTTTTCTGCATATGATTTCACCATTCAGTTCAAAGAAGGCAAAATTAATCCAAACATGTTTTTCTTTGTTGTTGTTTTTGTTATGTGAAAGTAATGATCCTCAGATGAAAGGCTGCAAGTTTTATGAGGGCTTTAATCACAGAGAAACAAATAAAAACCAGACAAGCTTCTGCTGGACTCGATCACAGCGGTGTGCTCTTTCTGTATGGCTGAACTTTGTGCCTTTATACCAAGAATCTCAACATTTTACAGGGTTATCTTATGAGAGGTAAGGAAAACATGTTGAGCTTTTTCTAGAACAAGATGAATTGGAAACAGAACTCATTTCTCAGACTCCAATGTATGTTACCATTATCTAAGCGTAGATTGTAGTGAGACATTCCAGCATTATGACGACAATCTTTCAAAGATAAAAGGAACGAATGCTTGGCTTTCCTGACGGAACAAAGGAAGCACCAGAGATGGACCTCTTTTCTGTGGACGGACGAGCTAATGGATGCAGCAACTGGTTTCCCTGCAGGCTGCAGCTTCAGACAGAGGATGAAGCTTCTGATCCTTTAAAGTGATGTTCCACATGTGCACTCAAGTGGAACGGCCTGTGCGGATTTCAGCCAACGCCAGACACCATGGTGTGACTGGCTGTGTGCGGAAGGTGAAAGAATGCCATGGACAGGCATCGTTTGTGTCAACTTACAGAGAATTAAGAGTTCAAATAAAGCTGCTGAGATCTCTGCATACAAACTGCTTTGTGGTTCATTTATTTTCACTTTGCTGAATACTTGTGTGCAAGGCCGTGTTTTTCAGCCAATTTTCCAGAAAATATTTTGTCAGCATATGCCCTCAGTCCATGCATCAAATGATTAGATGCGTCCTAATAGCTGAGTTAATGAGGCTGCTAAAAGCCTAAATGTGTCCCTGTGCACAGCTGAATGAGCAGCTTCAGCACGTTAAGTAATCATTATCTGGAGGGAGATGACGTCAGAAAATACTTGTAAAGATCTCTATTTCTCTTTAAAAAAAAGACCAATATCACCAGTTGTGTTTGGGGTTGTGCTGTCTTGTTTCATTCGAGATGGTGACCACTACTGCCACCTGCTGTCCACAACCCACGGGTCAGGGGATTCACCACAATTAAGGAAGTAAGCCCAAAAAAGTTTTTATGAGTTTGTCTCAGTTCTATGTAACAGTAGTCCCGCCTGTATCACAGAGACAGGTTTGCGTGTGTGCTAGTTGTCTTTTGCAGAGTGATTACATGATATCAAAATAACTCTCATTCAATACAGTTTATTTGATGTGTAAGTTTTTTTTATTGTTGTTGTTCTTTTGCCATTACTCAACCAGGAACATTAAGTGTTGAAGTGTAGGATAGAAAGTGCATGCTAGATCAAAAAAAAAAAAAAAAAAAAAGAACCAAAAAATACTCTGAGCCAAAACTTGGATTTGTGCTATCAAATTGTGCAAGTCAAGGTTTCAGAGAGCTATTTGTTTTTATTTAAGATTTTAACAATAACTCTTTTAGCAATAACTCTTTTAGAAGGGCATCTGTAAGTATTTTATAGTGAAACCTGCGGCTTGGATTCCAGCATGACTCTGCTCGTGTGAGGGGGTCAGGTCTTTGCAGAAAATGAGGCAGCGTGCTGATGCCATTAGCCCAGTTAGCACGTCTGCAGCTGTCAGCACTCAGGCTCTTTCCCATGATTAACTGGACACTCTGGAGTGAAGACTAACATCATTACCACATTTAACTTGGCTCTGTCTGTCAGCATTTGTTCCAATTCTCATTTATAATCAGTCAGACTGACCGGGAAACTTTAAACATTACCTCCACCGTCTCATAGCTCCTCCTAGCTTCTACCCCCTTCTTCTACTTTGTTTTCCAGCATGCTGTTCTTGCTGAGATCTTTGCCTGCTCTTTTGGCTTTAAAATATTTGATTTCCTTGCATACAGCTACAGTTTGTTTCCAAACCAACGGCAATTCATCTGCCAGTGGATTTTCTTTTTCTAGTAGGGCCACAATTTAAGCTCTATTGATGAATCAGTTTTTTTTTTTTTTTTTTTTAATCAATGACTTCTGATAACTCAAGCTTCATTTAAAACATCCCAAACTGGCAACTCTGCCTCTGTGCTTCAGGTTGTACAAGTTTACTCTTTTCCTTGAACCCCATTGTTGCTTCTGTAGCAACTCTGTTGCTGTTGACCATTTGGTTCTGTGAGCCATTACACACCTTGACACATGCTTTTAGTCTGAGAGTCAGAGATCACTGTTGTTAGGATTACGTTTGTTCACTGAAATTCCTCCAAATTTCTCCCTGAATATGGTTTCATCATATTCAGGATTGTTCAGGAAGAGAGGGGAAATCCAGTCCAACTTTCTTTGACAAACATTGTTGCCAGATTGGTTTGTCAACACATTGGTTGTCTTAACAGGCAGCATAGTGGCACAATTAGTGGCACCGTTTCATTGCAGAAAAAAGGTCCTGGGTGAATTTTGGGTGCGCTGGCAGCCTCCCACAGTCCAAAAAGCTGAGTTAGGTTAATTGGTTTCTAAATTAAGAGAAAGGTGTGTGTATATAAGGCAGTGTGTCCAGGATGTATTCCGTCTCTCATGCCTAATGATTGTTGTAGATATACACTGGCCTCCTAGAATGGTGATATTCTGAATAAATTTCACACTTGTGTCATTATTTCACTTTGTAATTCTAACAATCAGGACAAATAATTTTCCTAATTATCCACTCCTTTAGATCAGGCTGATGAACATTTGCAAATGAGTTGACGAGACGATACATTGAATATATTTAAAAATCTCTCAGTAGGCCGGGACATTCATTAATGGTTTCAACGTTATTTTCTGGCCAAATCTTTTTCCATATTCAAATTTCTAGAGGTCTTAATTGTTATTCAAGCTAAATGGATGGATTGTATGAAGGATGATGGAAATTTGATAAATTTGATAAATTACAGGATTGATGGGTAGATGAATGAATGAACTGATGGAGCAGGTGGATGGACGGGTTACAACATCAATGGATCATGGAAAAATGGTGTGGATGATTGAATGACATCCTAACTTTTCGATTGATCTCCGACAAGCATCCACCGAATCAGAAAGGAAAAAAATGGATTTTATTATGGAACAAAAGGCATCAAAAACATTAAGTTATTATTACATCAAAAACATCAGCTTCTTTTTGGATCAGTCCATCATTTCAGCTGCAGCACCACCTGGAAGACATTTAAAAAAAGACTGTCACATCACTTAGGACTAGGGATGAATTCCAAAGCAACAGCTTCTGCCTTCACTCTCTTCCTCAAGAAAGACTTAGAGAGAATCTTGTGATAATGCTGCCCCCTAGTGTTTAAACTGCATCAGTTTTCAGATGACATCGTTTAGGCACTTTAAATTGCCTTGTTGCTGAAAATGTGCTTTACAAATGAAATCGCCTTGCCTAGGTTTAAAACCTAAACTCCATTAAGCTGAGGAGCGACATGAAAGTGTTAATCATGAC